GGGCATCGGCACCGGCTTGGGCACCGACACCGGTACCTGGATCAACGGTGGCATCGCCCGTCTGTGTTGGGATCAACGGCGACATCGGCGCCCCGGTCAGCACCGCCATCGGTACCGCCGTCCCCATCCGTACCCACACCGACATCGACACGACCGCGCAGCCCAGGTGAGCAGCTGATGGCCGGTGGTGGCAGGAGGCCCTGAGCCCACCCGGTGCTGGTCCGTAGCAGCACAATAAGGATAGAGGTGGGGCGCCGAGGGCACGGCGGTGCTCTGGGGATGAAAGTTTGCAGCGGGTGGTGGTGCTGAGAGGGCTCCGGGGTGCATCCCCATGGTTTGAAAGTGTCTCGCAGAGGTCTGGTGGTGTCTGTCGCTCTGTCTGGAGGCTGCTGGCTCCAGGGTAGCTCAGGGTGAGCAGTGATCACACAACCAGCAGTGATCACACAACGAACAGTGCTCAGGGAAGCACCTCTGTCCCATCCCAGCTCCTGCTCCTTGGTAGATCCTGGGGTGACCACCATCCCCATCATCCTGACCCATCTTCACGTCCTCTTCCTCCAGTCCCGTGGGTCCCCTCAGCCCTCAGTCATGCCCGTTGACTCCCATCGGGGCCAGGGGAATGGGCTACTTTGGGACTACGTTGTTTTGTGGAATGGGGAGCTGGGGGGGCTGCATGCAGCCCTGGGAGAGCGGGCACAGGTCTGAGAATGGCTCCATGCAGGACACATGCTCATCTCCCGAGCATCAAGGAAACCTCTTGGGACCGGAGGGTTTCCCCAGGGACAACACCTCCTCACTGCCTTCAGGGCAGCACTTTGGCAGGTTGCCCCCGCCAATGCTTGGATCAGATCCTTCTGGCCCCCAGAGCTGGCTGCTGTCCCTTGGCTGGGTGGCAGTGCCACCGAGGGTGTGGAAGGGGCAGGGTGGCTGTGTCAGCTGTCCCTCCCCCTACTGCTTCCCCCAGTACCCACAGCCTGTGACCTTGGGGCTGCCCACTGCGCGACATCGCAACCCTTGCTGTCATGAAGGGGGGCAGGAGGAGGCTGGGATGTGGGGATGTGCAGAGGACTGGTGACAGCACGTCCCCTGCTCCAGGAGTCCAATGTCCTGCTGTCTGTGGCTGCAGGATGGGGTGCTTAGGGCTGCGGGGTGCCTGACCTTGGTGCTGCCCCGCGCACCCTAAAGGACATCCCGTGGTGCCACCAGGACAAGAACAGGTCCAAGACCTGCTCTGTCCTTGGCTCCAACAGATGGCTCGTGCTCAGCCAAGGCACGACTGCTGCATCCCCATGGACTGCACAATTATGGGGATTCCAAACCATTCTCCCTCCTCAGCTTGCAATCCCATTCCTGCCAGCTGCAGTGGGGAATCCCAGAGATGCTCCCAGTTCTACACAACACCTCACTCCAAATTCCCTCCCTTGGGAAGCCACTTCGGTCCTTTGCCCTGGAAGTGGGATACGTGGGACCTAGAGTTGGTTTCCATCTCCTTTAATGGGGCAGTTGCATGGGGATGGAAAATCTGCTGGCTGCCAGCATCAGTGGACATGGTTGTGGGATCAGGGTTAGGGTTGGGGTTAAGGTTAGGATTAAAGCTAGGGTTGGGGTTAGAGTTGGGGGTTAAGGTTAGAGTTAGGGGTTAGGGTAAGGGTGGGGTTGGGTTGGGGCCGTGGTTGGGGCTAAGGTTAGAGTTAGATTTAGGGTGAAGGTTAGGACTGGTGTTAGGGTAAGGATTGGGGTTGGTTTGGAGTTGGAGTTAAGGTTGTGGTTAGGGTTAGAGTTGTGTTTAGAGTTAGGGTTAGTGTTAGGATTGGGGTTAGGGGTAGGGTTATTGTTAGGGGCTCCCTGGAAAGCTGCTGTCCCCAGCATCTGTCTTTGTATTCACCACCCCTTGGGGCAGAAGGAAGGGGTCCCTGTGGGGCCAGGAGCTCTTTGTATTGCTGTGGGATGGAGGCAGAAGGTTTCCTCACGGATGTGGTGCAACATCCATGTAGGAACCCATAAGCATTTCCACAGATCAGGTCCATCAGCTCCAGCATGAGGGGCTGCTGGAGAGCTGTGTGTAGAGGGAGCCTGGAGCTGCTAGAGAATGAAACCGATTTAGGTGTGGGTGACACAATTATTATGTAAAATTATAGTTTGTGCTGTCGTCAGAGCAGCTAACTGAAGGTTACAGTGGGAGCTGTATTACCGAGGGCTCAATCATTGTAATTACCTCCCATTAGATCACCTTCTTTACAACTGCAACGTGGAAGGAGGGGGAAGTTACAGGAAGAAATTCCTGTCCTCACGCTCCATCCTCCTCCGGACACATCCTGTGGACAGCAATTAGAGGTCATTAACTGGTGGGGTATAGGTAGGGCTGATCTTTCCTACCTCAGCGTGGTCCAGCCCAGCCTTGTAGGGATTTTCTGCCATCGGTGCCTTTTGGGATGCTATGCTGCCCCATAATGCAGAGCACAGACATGGGCACATCGGGGTCTGCAGGTCGGGGGACACCTCTGCCTCATGCATGCATCAGGTTCACGTTGGCAGCAGTTGGGTTTGCCCTTCAGATGCTCAGGGAAGCTCTGAGTTTGGATGTCAGTGGGTGCATGAGCCAGTCGTGCTGTTACCCTCGAGCAGGACTTGCTCTGATTTGTGTTTTCAGCATTATAAGCAAAAGTGACAGTTTGTGCAAACAGCCTGGAATCCTGTCTGGAGAGACTCAGGTTGGATTTTTCCTGGTTTAATGAGGGCAATAACTACAGGCGAGCTTCACTGTCAGCCCTGAGCAGCAATCCTAGCATGGAGCAGCAACACTGCTTGCTCCTCCACAAGGCCACATGCCATGGCTTCAGTAGAGATCACCTGTGCCCGTCCCTGGGCTGGATGTGATGACAAGGGCTTATAGGGGGAAAAGAATTACTGTGTAAGGCCATTGGGCTAACAAGCAAACCCACTGCTTGGTGACAATGGGAACACACATTTGCATTGAGGCGACAGAGCCGTGGGCTGGAGGCTGAGGGCACTGGGCTGTGCCTGACCTTCTGGGGCTGGGCATCGATTTGAGGGGATCCCACAGTAAATCCCATGGCCATAACTCTGTGCTTTGGAGCAGCATGAGATCCCCACCCAAAATCACTGGGGCCAGCCTGCTCTCTGTGTGGGAGATCTCCAGATCAGTGTTTAATTATGACCATCTGCTGCTCCAGGCTTCAAATGCATCTCAGTGGATTTGGTCTCTGTTTAAATCAGCCCCTTTGGGTCTTCCTGGATGCTGGTTTTCTCGCCCAAGGCTCTCATTCTTATCTGATGTGGGGCAGTTCTTTGTTCCCCAGCTCACAGCACTCATTTGTATTCAGCGTTACACTTCACGAGCACTTCCCCTTTTTAATTGTGCTCATCATCTCCTAATAATCTCAATGCTGTGGGGTTATGGGTAGGTTTTTGGAGACTGCAGCATTTCCAGCCTTTATTGGAGGACACAGCATCGATCCTTTTCCATTAGAGTGTGAGGAAACACCGTCAGAAGGGTGAACCCCAATCAACCCAACACAACCCAACCTAACCCAACACAGCACAACTCAACCCAACACAACCAAACCCAGAGCCCTCAATGCCCCAAGCCCACCTTCCATTAGCCACTTGGGGGTTAAAAAGGGAAATTCTTACTCTTGTGATTGAACAAATCCCTCTTAAGGGCCAAGACTGCCGTGTCTCCTCCAGCTCAACCCCAAAATGGGTTTCAGGAGATATTTACTTAAGTTGGGAACATAAGTAGCACGAATGGGAACTGCTGCCTTCATTATGCTCTTCTCTTTCAAAATCCAGGCAAGGGAAAACCTGTGTGAGAGCCATGTCCCCATGCTGTGTCTTCCCTCCACCCCATCCAAGCGTCTCCAATTGCAGCCCATCTCTTGCAGGGATTAAGACCTATTTCTGCGACACTCTCCTCTATCCCATTAAGGGCATTACAGCAGCCCCAGGTCCTTCCATGTGACTCCTTCTGAAAGAGAGGCCATGCTAAGCCTCACGGAAATGGCCCTGCTTGGAGGGGAAATCCCCAGCACAGGGTGGAGATCGGGGTTTATGCAACATTATTTGCCCAACACCTCTGTTAATTCGCTGCCTGCAGGGCAGTAAGTTGGGCACGGGGCGGGCAGCTGCACCTTGGACCTTGTTCCTGCAACAGACGTAGCCCAGAGATGGGAAGGACCCAGCCTGGTCCTAAGGGATGTTGCTGCACATTTCTACAGCAGCACTGAAGCCGCTGGGGCTGCCGGGAAGGCAGCTTTGATCCAGCCCTGCAGGCTGCTGTCTGACTGCGTTGTGCCCAGCTGTGCAGACACGGAGGGAAAGAGGCTGTGTGTGTGTGTGTGTGTGTGTGTGTGTGCACTCATCTGTGTGTGCGTGCATGCATGTCTGCACACATACACGTGCATCTCTGTGTGCATGTGATCGTACACACATGTATGTTTGCATGCGTGTGTGTGCATGCAGCAGTTGGTGCATGCTTTGTGCGCGCTCCTGTGCTCCCACATCACGCTGGCCGAGGCATGAGCAGTCAGGCCCTGCTCCCATATGGTTGCCAGGGTGACAGAGTGCTGCTCCTGCACTGCCAGGATGCTCCAGCACCAGCGTCAGGGACGCTGCAGCCGTGTGCTGGGGCCGGAGCAGGGCGCTGTTGGGCTGACTGCTCCCACCAGGCGGGCGGAGCAGCGATGCGATGTGAAAGAGGTGCAGTCAGATGCGTGCTGTGGGGTAAGAGATGCTGAAAGCTGCCAGGTGACACACGCACACGCGTGCCTGAGTGCACCTGGTGCCTGAGTGCACCATGCATGAAAATGCATGTTCCGTGAGGCACCGTGCGTGCTCACAGTGTGCCAGAAGAATTGCTGTGCATGCAAACGTGTGTGCCAAAGTGCACCATTTCTGCACATGCGTGTGCCAGAGGACACCAACATGCACTCCGTGGGACTCAGAGCCAGCTCGGGGGTTCCTCATCCAGCCCCAAGGCAGCGCAGGGCCAGATCCTGCCCCGTGACTCACAGCCTGGTTAATCATTTACCTCCTCCACCTGCAGCCTCAGCCAGTGTCACTCCTGCTGCTCCTGTGGCTGAGGGGACCGTGGCTCACTGTCTGCCCACAGCTGGATCTGAGGAGGACTCCGGTGAGTTTTGCTGGGGCAGAAGGGCTGGGGACACGGGCAGGGCTCCTGGGCATCACTCAGCGCCACGTCAGTAGGTAGGAAGGGAAGTCCTGAATACAACCCACAGAGCAACACTGAAGGGGAATGCAGGCCAATATACAGGCTGCAGGGGGGTGAACCATGCCTGGAAGGTCACAGGCTGCCCTCAGTACTGTCTGCGCCATCCCTGTACCTACCACAAAGCTTCCAGCTTGCAGGAACCCTGGTGCAAAAGTTCAGGATATCCATCAGTGCTGAGAGGGACCTGGCAGCAATGGACCCAGGGCTGGTTGAGATGACATGCCACTGCCTGCCACCTCCATGGAGTCCAGAGACCTGCCTGCAGCACAAGTCCCTCTCCAAGGAACATTTTGGGGTTCATTTTATGTGTGGCCAGGCTGAGAACGCCCCATCTTTGTCTGCTGGCAAAGCAGCCAACCCTGCTCTTTCCTCTTGTCCTCCCTTATTGTCCCACCTCCATGTTCACATTTTGGTTCTTCATCCCTCCAACACTTCATCCCTCTTTCCGTCTCTATCTTGGTTCTCCATCTCTTCATCCATCCCTCCACCCCATCTTTGTTCTCCATTCCTCCATCTCTTCATTTCTCCTTCCATCCCCATCTTGTTCTCCATCTCTCCGTCCCCTTTCTCTTTCCATCCCTCCATCCCTCCATTCATCACTCCTTACATCCATCCGCCTGTCCCTCCATCCTTCCATTCATTCCTCCATCCATCCTTGCCTCACCCCCATCCCATTCTCCTGCCTGCACCAAGCACAAGACCCCCCCTTGCCCTTCACAGCTTTGCTTTAGTCACTCATAGATGCGCTGCAGGAGGATGCTGGGTGCTGCACCCCACATCTCTCCAACCCTGCTGGACATCTCTCCACCCCCCTTTGCACCCCACTGGCACTGCAGCCATGGGCTCAGCTCACCCTCTGCTCTTCCTTCCCCAGGCCAGAGTTGTGGGGCTCCCAGCCCACAGCCCCCCGTGAGCAGCACCCAGGGCTGAGACACAGCCAGGCCAGGCTGGAGGGTGCCCGGTAAGGATGCTGGAGGGCTTGGTGGTGGGGCAGAGGGTCCCACAGCATCTTTTTTTCCCATGATACTGCAAACGAGAGGAGTGGTTCCTAATGCTGAACTTCGTGCTGGGGATGGGGGAGACCCATGGGGATGGTAGAACCCCTGGGCAAGGTTTGCACTGTGGTTAGATCTCCATCAACTCCACTGATGGGGGGGGGACCATATCTCATCAGGGTTAGCATGACCGAGGTGGAGCCGGTGCTGGATTTCGCATCCTCAGGGAGGACTGGACGCCGCAATGCCCTACCTGACATCCTGGGCTCACCGGCAGGCGTCAGCCCCTCTGACCTGCCCCTCAAACTGGCCGAGATGTCCCTGAGTGCAGGTGGGTGCTGGGTGACGCATGGGGGTGGCACATGGGGGTGGTATCATGGCTGCTCACTGCCCTCCTCGCACCACAGGCAGCTCCCAGGAGATGCAGTCACCTTCTGCAGAAGTTCCCCCACCGCAGCCCCAAAGCCCGGAGCTGAAGGACACGTCCTAACCCTGCTGGGGGACTGAGCAGAGGGGTGAGGACGCTGCGAAGCATCCACATCGCTGCCCTTGTGCCATGCAGCAAGAGCATCGCCTGCAGGAGAGGAGCCACGTGGGGACCTGTGGGGACAAAGGGACACTTCACTCCTGCGCAGGGCAAGGATGGGGACGTTCATCCCACAGGAGGACACTTTTCTTCCAGAAGCGAGCGGCCAGGGGGGGCCTATGCCATGAGCAGCCCAGGGGGTCTGAGTGTTGTTCACTGTGATGTTTTGGGTACCACGTCCGTGTCCTGTCCTTCCTTTTTCCAGTGGGTGATCCAAGATCTTTTTTTTTTTCTTTCTTTTTTCTGAGGAAGCATCATCAATGGGCTGGGGAGGAGAGCCTCCCAGCAGCAGCCAGCACCTCAACAAGTGTTGCTCCAGAGTGCTCCTTGCATCGGGGGAGCAGGGAGCTCAGCTGGGATCATATTGCAAAGCCATCCTTGGGGACAGTGACATCTCTGCCACTCACAGCTCTGCTGCCTACTGAGTTGGGACTTACTGCTGGGGACAAAACACGTGGCCCAACTCCAGAGCATGGCAGGGGTGAGCAGGTGAGGGGCCAGAGAAGGGCACAGTGCTCATATCTGTTCCTATCCCCAGGTGGTAACCTGGTGGTCACCCATAGCTCTTGCTGTGGGACCAGTGAATGGAGTCCTAAGGGCCACCCAGCTCTAAGCAGCGCTGGGGGAGGGGAGAGCTGCGTGGGGTGGGTGGCACTGAGAGCCACAGTGTGTGTCAGTGGGCATGGGCACGTGTGGGAGTGAGTGCTGCTGGGGGTGGGCGCTGTGTGCAGGGGTGTCTGTGCACATGGGTGTCTGTGCACACGGGTGTCTGTGTGCGTGAGTGGCAGTGAGCAATCACCCGTGTGCACGGGCGTCCGTGTGCTTGTGTGCCTCTGCACGTCAGTGTCTGTGTTTGTGGGGGTCTTTTTGTGTGGGTGCTGCTGTGGGTGGGTGTTTGTGTCCATGTGTGTGGATGCCTGTGCACATGGGTGCCTGTGTGCATGGATGCCGGTGTGCAAAAATGCCCGTGTGCAGGGCTGTCCATGTATGTGAGTGTTCACGTGTGTGGTGCCCACGTGCACGGGCTCTCCTGTGGATGGCTGTCCCTGTGCACATATGTCTGTGTGTGTGTGTCCATGTGTGTGCACATCCATGTCCTGTAGCCCTGCTGCACCAGGGGGATGCTGGGAGCCCCAGGGCCGTGCGCATTTGGGACTCTGATGCCCAAGGGTGGCTCTGGGAGGAGCACAGACAGGTGACCCCTCCAGGCCTGTCCCCAACCTGTGGCACCTGGAGGGTGTATTCAAGGAGCACTGTGCACTCTGGGGGGGAGCTGTGTGACTCCCAGGGCCATGGTTGGATAATAAACTGTGTGTGTTTCCCTGTGACACAGTGCTCCGTGCTCTGTCCCCACGGGGACTGGTGGCTGTCCCGCCCAAGGGACAGGGGCTCCCACTCACAGCCCCTCCAAGGCCATGGGGAGGAGGCTGAACTTGAGCCCCTGGCTATTTTTGGGTGCCTGCAGTGACACCTTAGGGATGGAAAGAGAGACAAAGTGTCCCTGAGTGCCACCCAGGCACGGTTGTTTTGCCCCTGATACCATCACCCTGCAGTGCTGGGTATGGGGACACTCAATGGTTGCCACCCAATCCCCAAACCCAATGGACTGAAATTGGGCAGAAGATGCCAGACCCCCACAGGCTCACCCCTTCCCATAAACATGTCCCCAGAGGTGACAGCCACCTACTGTGTGTCCTCCCGAGTTGGGGACACTTTAGCCAAGGGGACCCCCAGAGCTGTCAGCACAACTGAAGGGGCCGGGGAGGGGCGGGTAATGGGAGGAGGCTCATCACTGAGCCAGGGCGGTGTGCCCACTGGGGCAGGGGACACCAAATTCCACTACCACCTCAATCCCCTGGCATGCTGCAACCCGAGCCTGAAGGAGGAGGGGATCGTGTCCTGGATGTCCAGCCCCGTGGGGACACACCCGTGGGGGAGAGGGGTGGACAGCATCCACGGGACATGGGGGGCTTCAAGCCTGAACCCAGCAGAGCGAAGACCCCAGGGCAGCTGTTGGGATGGGGCCGATTTGAGAGGGTCCAAAAGGCGGTAAACTGAAATCACCAACGATGGGAGGGATGCGGACGCGGCCGTCCTCACCTTCACCGTCCCCGGCACGCACACACGGTCCCGCGTGTCCCCACGGATGCTCCCGTGCCTCAGTTTCCCCCTCTCCATCCACACCTCACCGTGAAGCACGCGGCCGTCGGCACCGCACATCCTCACCTCCACGCACCCACGCGCGTCCGCGACCACCGCGAGGCCGCGCACAGCTCACGGGCAGGGGACGGGGGGCGGAGGGGGCGGCCGGGGGGCGGTGGTTGGCAGCGCTGCCCGTCCCCGTCGGGGTATTTCTGGAGCCTCTTCCCATCATGTGATGGGGCCGGTATTTAAGGAGCCGCGGGGCCGGGCGGCAGCTGCGGGCGGTGCGGCGCTGCGGGGACAGACGGACACGGGGACACGCGCGGCTTCGCCATGGTGGAAGCGTTCGTGGGCGCCTGGAAGCTGGTGGACACGGCCAATTTCGATGAGTACATGAAGGCGTTGGGTGAGTGGAGGGTCGGCAAGGCGGAAATCGCTGTTTTTGTCGCTTTTTTTTTTTTTTTTTTTATGGGGAAGGGGGGGTGGGGATCGTCGGCTGCTGCGTGGGTTTAAAAGGGAAAAATAAAAATAGAAATAATAAAATATAGAAATAAAAATAGGAAAGAGCAACGCGGTGCTGTGCTGGGGAGGGGCTGCTGCCGGGGTGGAGGGGAACGGGTGGAATCCCCTCTCTGAACCCCCCTGCAACCCCGGTGTGGGGGAAGGGCTGATGAAGGGGATCCCAGGGGCTTCGTGCCCCCATCCGCTGTCCTGAATCCTTCATCCCTGGGCAGGATGAGCCCCAGAGGGGTCTGGAGGGGTGGTGACTACAGGTGCTTCCCATTCCACCCAGCCATAAATGTGCAGGATCAGCCCCTGAATGATGCCCAGATCTCCCCCATAGTACGGCCCTGTGGGGATGCAGTGGGTCCCCCCCGTCGATAAAAAAGCCCCCCCAAAAAAACCCAGGAGGGGCTCTGGGGTGATGCATGGGGACACCGCATTGACCCCCTGTCCCCCAACCAGGGGTGGGCTTTGCCACCAGGCAGATGGCCAGCCTGACCAAACCCACCACCATCATCGAGGTGGATGGCGACAAGGTGACGGTGAAGACCCAGAGCACCTTCAAAAACACAGAGATCAGCTTCAAGCTGGGCGAGGAGTTCGATGAAACCACGGCCGATGACAGGCACGTCAAGGTGAGGGAGCCGGGGGGCTGCTTCCTTCCCTCCGCCCTTTGCACCCCTTGCCTCCACTTGCAGCTGGGTTTTGCGGAAGGCGATGCTGTAACCAAGAGGCTGTGTTGCAAAAGAGATTTGGGGGCCACCACGGAGCTTGTAAGACACAAAACTCCTTCCTGCCCCATGGGGAAGCAGGAACAGAGCTGGGTGTGGAGTGAGGTTGGGCTGAAATGGGGCGAGTGCGAGCAAGGCGGTAGTGCCAGGCAGACATTGCAGCATACCTCTGTCTTCATCCTCTGCTCCATCTGCTCAGCCTATCTCGGTGCCATCCATCTTGCTGGGGAACCAGAGCAGCAGAGCAGCAGTAGAGCACAGGTTTGACCCCTAGGAGATATTTCCATGCACAGCTTTGACTATAACCAGCCTGCCTGCTTTGTCTCGTGACAGCTCTGCCCCAAGCTTAGGGCTGCTCTGCTCAGGGTGGTGGAAACTATGCTAAAAGCTCTTTGGCTGCTGGTGTGTGGCAGGGACGTGTGAAGCAGCCAGGGACGTGCCCTTCAGACACCTCTCGGCTGGCTGCCAGAGGGCAGACAATGAAATGGGGCCCCATCTGACAGCCCCCAGGCAGCCAAGCAGGAAGCTATGGAGCAGCTGGGCTGTGGGGTGCTCCAAGGTGAGGAGTCACCAAACTGGGGGGGAACCAGAATGTCTGGGGTGCAGGGAGAGGAGAACTTGAGTTCTGAAGGGAGCTGAGCTGCAGAGCACCCAAGCCATGGGGACACCCAGTGCATTAGGACATCTGTGCTATGGGGACATCAAGTCACAGGGAGACCTGAACTTTGGGGGCTTTGGAGTCATGGAGGTTCCTAAGCGATGGGGACAGCAAGCCATGGGGAGACCTGAGCTGAGAGGACATCCAAGTCATGGGGACACCTAAACCATGAGGAAACCCAAGCTGTGGGGACACACTAATGGGGAGAGCTGAGCTTTGGGGGCATCCAGCCATGAGGAGATCAAAAGCAATGCAGAGTCCCTACCCATGAAGGAAACTAAGTGGGTTGCAGGGACCCACATCATGGTGAGACCCGAGCCATGGGAACATCCAACCGTGGGGTGACTAAGCAATGGGGAGACCTGAGGACATGCAGGTAATGGGGATTCCTAAGCTATGGGGACATCCAACCATTGGGAGATTCAAACTATGAGAAGACCCAAACGATGGAGAATCTTAAGCCATGCAGAGCCCTGATCCATGGAGGCCTTGTGCTGGATGGACTCAAACCATGTCAACCAAGCCACCAGGTCAGCGAGATGCAGCAGCACCTGCGCTGTGCTGGGGACCTGAGCCATGGGAAACCCAGCCCTTGGGTGCCTGTGCAGCAGAGTCACAGGGAGGTTTGCAGAGGACAAGAGGCTGGGACAGCTCGGGGCATGTGGTGCCCTGGGCTGGAGCTGAGAAACGTCACTAGGAGGCAGAGGACTGGGTGCCAGGCAGTGGGGGGATAGCAGAACAGAGCTGGGCAGACAGTGCCACTTCCCATGCTGGCACAGCCAAGCCCTCTATCATGTTAACCTTGGCACTGGCCGGGCTTTCAGGGCTGAATCAACAGCAGCGGCTGTGCAAACAGGAGCCCGAATGAGCAAGGGCTTGTACAACAGCTCAGCTCAGGACACAGCTGTGGGGCAGGGAGGGCAGGGTCACCATGACAGTGGCTCCTGGTGCCAACAGGGGCTACGATTGTGACCCAGCTGGTGTCCTGGGCCAAGCTGGGTGAGTAGAGCCAGGTGGGATGCTGGCACCCAGGGATCCTCAAGGCGCCCTTTGCTGGTGGGTGGGATGAAAAGGAGCATCCAAAGCTGCAAGGATGGAGCAGCAAAGCTCCAACTGTGAGGATTCTGCTCTCTCTACACAGTCATTGGTCAAGCTAGATGGAGGCAAGCTGGTCCACGTGCAGAAGTGGGATGGGAAGGAGACATCACTAGTGCGGGAGCTGAAGGATGGGAAGTTGATTCTGGTAAGTAAATATAAAGGATTTTAGGTGGGCGGATGCCCGAGGTCCCACCCAGTGCTCACAGTGCTCTTTGCCCCCAGACTCTCACCATGGGCAGCGTTGTCTCCACCCGCACCTACGAGAAGGCATCCTAGAGGCTGCCCCAGCTCCCTGCCCAGTGCCAGCTCCAGCGTTGAATCGTCTCTGCCTTCCCCGCGCCGTGCGCAGCTCACCACAGTGCAGGAGCCTTCCAAAGCCACCGTGCCCTGACCCTGCGGTCTTGTGGGGCTGGTTGGGGTGAGGGTGTTTCGTTTGTTATTATTTTTTCTTTTTTTTAATGGAAGAACCCACGTGGAAAAATAATAAAAGCAATGTTGTTACAGAGCTGTGGCTGGCGTGCTTGGGAAAAAGGCTTTTGGCAGGTGCACCCATGGGCTCTCGCCGCCCTCTTTATCTGCTGCACAGCTCACATTGTCTTCCCCCAGGGCAGCCATTGGGCTCACAGACACAGTAACATGTGGGAAAAACCCACCATCAGCCACTGCCCACCGACAGCACTGGTGAGCCCACCCCGGTCCCACTGCACTCAGGCTCTCTGCCACCCATGGCATCAGCGCTGCAGTGCCAGGTGGACACGCAGCCCGTTTTTGTGGAGGGGATATTAGTTCACTGCAATGGCAGCTCTGCTATAAATCATTCAGGATACGAGCACACATCATGCCAACCAAAGCAATCCCTCCCCAGCACTAATCCAGACAGGTGTGCCTGCCAAAGCATCAGGCAATGTGACGTGCCTGGCCACAGAGGAGCTGAGGAGTCAAGGTCAAGAGACATCAGGACCTGGGCTGGAAAGGGAGCAGCCCAAAGTCAGGCTGGCCCACAGGGACCTGAAGGAGTTCAGGGGCTGAAGCCCTGTGCCCAGCCCTGCTGTGCTAAGCAGCACTGGAAACAGCCCCACTTCAGCAAAACCTCCCTGACCTTCAGCTCCAGTTACAGGACTCACCATGCAGTCGCTGCTATAGGCCGTCACCAAAAGGCACAGCGAGCCCCACCGCACACCAGTCTTCTTGTGGCATCCTCACCCCAGGGCAGCCCTGCAGGCTCTGGCAAAGGGCTTCTCCCCTGCCTGGTTATCAGAACTCCATAACATCCCATCTCCTTCCAGGGAGGCAGTTCTCAGCTTGCAGCCAAGGGCTCTTTTATCCACTCTCAAGCTGAAAGCGTGGAGCACGCAAAAGAAAGAGAACAGTACAAAGTACACCTGGAGATTTGAGAGATTTATTTTCCATCCTTTACAAAGGCAGCAAATACACCACAGTTAATGTTTACTTAAAATATCACCGCTCACCACTTCACTTCTTACTCTGCCACTTTCAATGTTTACAGACAAAAAAATGAATGCAGCAGGGGGAGGGTTTGAGTATCAAAGCCAACCTGTGAACCGAGCCCCTCCAGGCAGTGCCTTGCATTGGGAAAGGAGTGGGGTTAGGGCACAGATAGCAGTGCCCTTCCTCGGAGCTGCTGTGCAGCAGGGCTGTACTCAGTCACTGCAGCTGCACCCATCCAACAGAGCACGTGTGCAGGCAGGCTGGGGTGCAGGACACACAGCTCCACCTTTTACAGGCAGCTCCATCCGGGACTGACGTCACAGCTCAGGGCTGCCGCTGACCAGGGAGCCTGCAGGGTGGGGGCAGCTTACCCAGCCCAACAGGAGACTACAGGACAGAGGGGCTGATGAATGGGTGTAGTTAATTAGACTATGCTGGCAGGCACGCCCACTGGCCTCGTTGGGAGAAAAAGGCAGCCCATGCCTAAGGTAACAGAGGAAAACTCACAGCAAAGTCAACAACTTGAACAACACAGGCTGAGCATTACTTTTGGAAGAAGGAAACTCCTTGCCTTGCTGCAAGAAGCACGCTGACTTGCTCCTGCTTGCTCCCAGCAGCACATTCCAGGGATTCACAACAGCAGTGCCCCTCTCTGCCTGCTGTCACTCTTTGGTCTTCTTCTTATGCTTCTTTTTCTTCTTCTTCTGAGCCTTGCTGGTCTTCCCCGAATGCTTGGCCCTCTTGCTGGCTGGCTGAGCCCCATCGCTGTCCGAGTCAGAGCTGTCTGAGTCAGACTCAGAGGACTGCTTACTCTTGTGCTTCTTTTTCTTCTTCTTCTCCTATCAAATGAAGCAAAACAAATACAGCTTTGCACGTGGGAAAACCGTCACTTGTGTTCACCAGGGCACTGAGCCACTTGCTGTCGTGAGAGCCTGAAAAGCTGTGAGAGAAGTGAGCCTGTCCCAACACGACGACGCACGCAGCTGCACGGACTTTGCCCATAGCTACAGCAGGCACTGCCTGACAGCTGCAGGACAGAGGTGGGTACCGGAATGGAAATCCCAGCCCGAATACTGGTAGTCACATCACAGAGAGATCTCCACTTATCTAAGGCTATTCCTTTTTATAGGGGTTGACAGGAAGAGAAAACTTTCGCCAACCAAATGTGTTTCTAAAACAGCCAGCTGGAAGTGAGAGCTATCCCTGCTTCCCCACATCATCAGCAGCCCACAGCCTGCCAGGAAAAGCACACTAACGCACTGGAGCACTAACAACAACAACAACAACACCCTCCTCCTCACTGCAAAGCCCGAGCGCAGCCAAAATGCAGAGGGATGGTTTGGAAATCTCAGCCATCACAGTCATTACCTGGGAACCACAGAGAGAGGGACAGACGGTCCTGCAGGGCCTGCCAGCACACCACAGCCCTGAGAGCAGCTGTGCTGGGGCAGACCCCACACCACCCCCTCCCACCCCCCAAGGCCAAAAACGTTTTTCAGATGTGAAGTTTCCCTTGGCCCTCCCTGGAGGGGAGATGGGATGAGGAAAGCACCCTTTGGCAATAAGTCTCTTTGCACAATCTCATCTCCCCACCACGTGGCAGGCAGAGGTTGGGGCATCGCTGAGCCCCCAGGGCTGCATTTCTGTGAGGCTCTGAAACAAAAGCTGTACAGTACTCAAGAGGGACCTAACATTTATAGGCAGAAAAAGACCAGCTGATGCTTGAATACATCATGCAAGGAACTTTATAAGAGGAACTGAGCTTCGAGGCACTGAGCAGTAACTTCTTAGCACAGATTACTCTGAAATCAGTACTGCAGCACACCTCCTCCCAAAGTCGCATCAGACAGAGAATTTCAAGGCAGACAAAGACTATTTAACAGCGTGGGGGTGGCAATTTGTATCGATTTAATTAGACAGCAGGACTGAAGGGGGAATGCCATCTGGCTGTGCAGGCAGCACTTGAAGACCAGCACCAGCCCTGCTGTGCCCCACACCACAAGCAGCTGGGCCACCACCTGCAGGGTGCAAACCACGCAGCACCAGAGGGGAGCAGAATAGCAGCACCATGATTCTGGGAAGTAAATTAAAGCACCATGCAGGTGAGCAGGCCCAAGATGCAGTATGTTGTAAAGCATGCAGAGACTGTGTCCAGCAAGCATTCCGTCCAGCAGCAAGCACTCACAGCTTTCCTCCACAGTCGTATCAACACTAAGAGACTTTTCTCTGCAGATGCCTACCGTGAATTTTCATTGCAGTTCAAGCACGTAAAAAGGATGCAAGAAAAGCAGCAAAATGGAGTTTCACGAAGCAGAGATGGGCCAGCAAGGCCAGCCATGCCACTGCAAATGCCTGTGATAGGCTTAGACAACAGCAGTGAGGAATGCAGCCCAGCCAGCAAAGCTTGCTGCTCTAAGCCCTACACTGGTGTTTTTGCTTGAACTGTGCTCATTCCTGGACAGTGTGTGTGCTAACTGCTCTGACCTGTATACGTAAGACTGGGCACAGACTTTCCCAAGCTTGCTGAAAACCAGCAGCCAGTTGCATTATCCAGTTACACAGGCAAGTCCAAGTGCTGGTTGTACTCAATGAGGCTTTTCCCCCATCTGCAGTCCAGCTGGGGGTTGGACTCGATGATCTCTGGAGGTCCCTTCCAACCCCTACAATTCTGTGATTCTGTGATTCCTGTCCCCCCATGCACACTCTACCACACACATCTTACTCAGACTTGCCACACTGCCACAGTTCACAAGCACTGCGCTCTCCATGCCCAGTTTGGGCCCAAAAATGGCTCCTGCTGAAAGCACCAAACACGTGGGTTTGCAAAAACACAGCTGGAGTGGAAGCGAGCTCCTGGAAACAGCCTCCAAGTGGGGCAAAAGCAAAGAGCCACTGCCAGAGATGGGCACTGCTACTGACAATCCCAAACACAAATTCAGTGTTTGCCATATAAAACGTGCTTTACATTCCACCATGCAAGGAAGCATAACATGAGAAGCCTGGAGACCCCAAGCTAGCAGCTCTGCTTATTTTCAATGCCAATGACCTCAAGGTCACCCGTGGGCTTGCAGCAGAGCTTTACTGGAAGAGGCCTGCTGTAAATCACACCCCTCCTTGGCAGGGCTGATTGTGCCATGCACTCACTTCATGAGGAAACTCAAGAAAGCAGTGAGCCCAATGGCACAGTTGTGCAAGACACTGGGCCACAGGCAGAACAAGTTTTCTGGAAGGTCTCCTCTCTTAGCTAGCTGCTCTGTGCATCCACAGCCAACCCAGAAGAACAGTTAAGCCAAGGAAGAGGAAAAGAATGCATGAACAGGCAAAGGGAACATCACCATCAGCCATGGGTACACAAGTGATGCCTGCACAGAACCAGAATGACTCACGTGGGCAAGTATTTCTACCTGCTCCAACAAAGCTGGGATCAGAACTGGGTGCTGAAGATCTGAATGCAGCACTGACACTGTGGGCCTGTCCTGAGTCACTCTGGGATGCCTGCAGCACTGCCTGGGGCTGGCTACACACCCACCCCACCCAGGCAAAAACAGCCATCCCAGCTAAAAAACTGGAAAGCATCCACCTAAAGGAAACTCACTTCACAGAAGGAAGCCTGAGAAAGGCAACGTGCCTGCTCACCACAAGACTGCAAACGAAGAAACCAGTACTCGTGTGAGAAACAGTTGTTAAGAACAGAAAAATAATAAATGAGGTAAAGATGGGGGGGAAAATCCCCTGTAATAACTGACTTTTCCATCCTGACTCTGCTGCTGTTGGCTTGAAGGTCCTCTGGCAACTCACTGTGACAAGGGAGGATGTTAAAGCCAGGACCATGTGGTGTGGAAGTATTCTTTAACAGGGCATCTCACCCAGCTGCTGGCAGCCCTCCAGCGCCTCACCTCATGCTGTAAAGGGCAAGCTGTCTTCAGATTGCTTGGGGAAAAAATGCAATGAGCCCAGAGAAGGCTGAGTTCTCCCCTTCCTCCCCACGAGACATTCCTTCCATTAGCTTCAGTCACTTCCAGGCAAGCGTGGTGTCCATATGAATACACCAGCTTACAGGAAGACAAGCTGAGGGGTGTATGTGTTTCATTTAATAACACATCCTCCCCCAAGAGTGGGGACACGAGCAGCCCATCTAAAAATCTCAATTCAGCATGGATAACATGCCATAGCACCAGATAGACACTCAAATAAGGACAAAGAAAGAAGGAAGCTAGTAGCTTATTAAATGTGAAACACAGCAATTATTTTAGGGAGACCACGTAGCAAAGTCAAGGCACAGCTTAGAGCTGAGTATCAAACAAGGAGTCATCTCAGACCCCAGGGAAGATTCAGAGAACCAAGCTGACTGCACACCTAGCAGCCTCTTGGCAAGTGTCAGTTCCTGTAGCTCCACAACAGCACCACCATAACTGTGGCAACACCAACTTCACTACAAAGACTCACATGGCAAGGGCAGAAGCAAATCACCACCATCTTCCTCTGAAGACTGTGAAGAGTTAAATCTTCCAGGAAAAAGGACACAGCGTGGAGAATTTTCTCAAGCTTTTCCAGTCTGTGAACGTGGTGAGAAAACTGGAGAAGACTTTAACTAACAGTTTCATCCCAGAGCTTGGGAAGCTGTCTCAGCATGCGAAGGCTGAAGATAAGACAGGATGTCACATCTGTCCCCTCAGGATTACGGGGAGAGATACACCAATAACAGAGGAAAAGCCACTAGACCACAGAGTTTAAGTGCCAGCATGCTGGCACAGGATGAGCAGCACTCAGCTGCCTTCCCATGCTCCACTGGGTGCCAGGCTCACTCTGCTCACCAGGACCTACCTGCACTGCACAGCCTTCCTCTGGTTTACACGTCAGTGCCACAGTAAATGTCCAAACTCTGCCTTTAATAACAGCAGCAAAGCCTCCCCAGGCCCAGAGCTGCAGATGGGTCTCCAGAAGGGATTGCTGCTGATGGATGAAGCTGAGCTCTGCTGTTCTCAGGCACACCCAGGCACTCCCTCAGGACTACAAACACTGCATTTGTGCAAGCACTGTGAGAGAATTTTGCCCAAATTTTGCCCAAGTTCAAATGCTGGCCCTCTCTGACCATCTTTACAAGTACAAAGACCATTACAGTTCCTCATATGCACTGCACTGTTCAGTACCTCTACTACAGTTCTACCCAAATGGAACAAACTTGCTTCAAAATCCCTCAAATACAAGAAAAAAAAAAACAACTGTGTTGAGGGATGGCACACAGAAGCTGAGCAGCTGGGCTACAGCCTGACAGCCCTGCCTTTCCCATTGCCAGGTGTTCTGAAGAAGCTGGTACTGTGAAGGGGCACCACACTGCTCCAGGCCTCTTCCTGTTCTTTGTAAGACAAATTGCTTGGGGCTACATTCTAAGAATGTTATAACGGCTCATTCCTTCTACAGGTATTTGATTTTGAGATAAGAGGGGAGTGTCCACAACTCTCAAAGAAGTTTAAAGAATTTTTCGCCAGCACTTTGTGGCCTTGGTGTGTTTAGAGCCTTTATGTCTGTCCTTGTGATAAAGGAAAATGGATTTCCAGCTGTCTGTCCTCCTGCATCTCCAGCAAGGTGCAGGTATTCTTAAGTTTTTATTAAAAAATACAAAATAAAAAAATCCATCTCTCAGCTTAGTATTAAGCAAGACTCGTTATGTAAATAAAAATATATATTTTATCCCTACTTTAAGGATCAGTTAGAATTTATTTGATGAGAAGAGTCTAGACTATGGCCATTTATCAAACAGCAGAAGTCAGAAAAGCATAAGAAAGGATGTTAAAGAGAACAGCATTCTGTGTGAAGAAAGTGGATTTGACTGCAGTGCCCCAAGCTATTGCCATTTCAGAATTAGGAAAACAAGTACTAGCAACGGGCAAGGACAGATGAGCTTGATGAGTTACAGGTCATTGAACAAACAACACTTAACAAGGTGTGGTTTGAAGTGAAAGACAGCAGGAATACTTCATGGTAATCTTTTACAGGACGGGAGAAAAAGCTGCAAGGATTGCAGAAAAGCAACCACAGATCACATTTAGCACACAACTCCAGTGACCATTGCAAAACCACAGGTCATTTTTGTCAAGTTCAAATTAAAGATACTCCTCCTAGTGCTGAAACAGCAGTTCTTTCCTCAAGGGGGCAAGAGAGAAGAATCAGAAGGGTTTGGTTTTTTTTCTCAGCACGCCTCCCTGCTACGCAAGCTCAGCACAGCCACGATGCCGTGTTCCCATAGGAGCTCCTTCACCCTGTGACCCGCAGAGTAAAAGTGAAAGGGACACAGCAGCAGCCTGCACAGCTGTCAAGGCTGCTCAGATGCTCTCTGGTATTTCCACAGCACAGTGACAGCACCCGATGAGCTTCTGCCACCAGCCACCGTTTTCTCACTGGTAACAGGAGGCGTGAGCACTGACATGGCGATCTGAAAGCAGGAAGCCTTGTACCCACTGTCATTCCAGAAGCTGATGCTCTCTGAGTGCAGAGAGCTCCACTCTGTAAATGTCATACAGTTCAGGCAGAAGAGCAGAGTACCAAAGAGCTTTGTTTTCATCTCCACTGTGGGACGAAGGAGATTCCAGTGGGACAAAAAACACTGTTTTTTCTCCAGGACTCCCACAAACCAAGACTACACAGCAACAAACCACCATACAGTGACTCTGGGGATGGCATGGACACAAAGCAGAGAGTAAGTTCTCCAGAGCATCTCTTTAAGGAGAGCGTGGAGGGTGGGAAGAGCACTCAGGGACTGCAAGAAACTATCAGATCAGGGACACAGAAAATGCATACAATGAACAACCTGCAGCTATTACTATGACACTGAACAGCAGTTTCCTATCTACCAAGCACCTCTCTACTCACTAAAAATATATTTCCACACCTATGTAACAAACATCAGATGGGATGAGGTTTGCAAAGTAATTCTCACTAGGTAGACTGAGCTATTTCTATTTTGTGCTAATCCTCTCGGGGATCCAGGCAAGCAGGGAAGCACAATGATGGCTCCCAGACAAGATCACAGCAGGCTCCCAAGCCAACAAGGGAGCTATTCATTTCAAGGATCCCACATCCTGCCTCTAGAAAGCTCAGTTTTATTTTCCAGCACTGGAAAACATCTGAAAACTTTTGATCTCCTTCTTGAGAAGGGAGAAGATCAAAGAAACAAGCAACATTTAAAGCAAGGCTGTTCATCCACAGACTGAAAAACAAAAAAAAAGTAATTCACAGCAGTGACCCACATATCCTGCAGTCCCAGCAAGGCAAGGCTCCAAAGGGAACCCCTACAAGCACCAACGTGATAAAGCACCATTTGTGTACCTCCCAGTACAGGTTTTCCCCAACAGCACTGAAATAACAGCTACACTGTAAGACAAAGTGAGCCATCACAGGTAAATCATCCTTGTTCTAGAGGGAGAAGAATTCCAGGTAGGAGAAACGAGCTCCGCTGAGTTTCTGCCAACAGCCTGCTCTCACAATGGCAAGACAGAAACTGATGGCTGAAAGTCACAGATAGGCTGGGATCTAGGAAACAAGTCAGTTCAGTTGACTGCCTCCAAGACCAGAAGAGAAAAGAGGACATGTATGCTACACTGCAGCATAATAACACACTGCAGACGAGCCCAACACAATTCTTGAATGAGAGCCACACTGGGAAGCAAAGCACATCTCACTGCCTCTTCCAAAAGTTCCCCCCTTCTTCAGCCTGATCTGCTTCTGAACATGGGAAATCCCACTGCCTTTCCTGTCTGTTGCACCTCTCTGGGAAAACAGAATGGTTGTAAGGCTGTGGAAGAAAAAAAAAAAAAGGAAGAAAAAGGCTTTGGAAGAATGATGGATGCTCATGATGTGAAGGTGACTGACAAAATGTTTACTTACCCAAGTCTCAAAGCAGAATGTTCATTTCTGTGCAATGAGACACACCACCAACCACTCCTGTTTTAGATTCAAGTTTCTTCTAATTTTATTTTTTTTTTTTTCTTAATTAAATCAGAAACCAGCATTCAACCATTCTAACATTCAGATACAAAACCATAAAAGATCCCTGGAAATTTGTAATTTTATAGCCTGGAAATGGAGTATGCTTCCCGTGCAAATACAGTCTGTGATTTTACCCTGGCATGTGCACATATGTCAAGTTCACATCACAGAGGCTGGCAGGGCAGCAGTGGGCATTTGCTTCAGATTAAAGAAAAGTGGTTGGATAAGAGCAGCAAGAAAGAAGACAAAAGAGGGCTGTTGGCAAGAAACGTGGAAATTCAGGAAACCTAAGTAAGTTCTATTGAGCTTCAGAATAAGAAAAAGATGCCTTTCTTACCTCTTCTGAGAGCTATGCATTGTAACACAGCTTAGGGACAGTTAACTAGAATAAAAGGAGACAGTACAAGAAATGCTGCAGTCTGCAGAAAAGGCTGCCGTTCAGCTAAAGACCCCCCCCACAACTGAGCCACTTCCTCAGCCCAGCACTGGCACTCAATCACCTGCTGCAGATCACAGGTGAACTCAACAGAACCATCTTGTCTGGCTCACCTTCCCAGACGTGCAGTAAGGTACCTCATACCTTCTTCCTTTTCTTTGAAGAATCACCAGACAAGCTGCTCTTCCTGCGTCTTTCACATTCTGCTGCTGCCACCTCCTCCTCTTCCTCTTCCGGAATCAGGCTGTATTTGGTCCCTCCAGGCTGCACGAAACACTCCTTGGCAAAATGACCTGCAAAAGAGAGTTTGAAGGAGCAATCCCTCTCCATCCTCAGACAGTTCTATTTTGTACAACTGCACTTCATGCACCCAAAGTGCCAACAACAACCTTTTTGTATTAGTAGCCACAATACAACAATCTCAAATGTACTTTTCTTGCCCAGGTATTTGTATTACTTTAGCATGCCCTGATTGAAAAAGATGAGAATAGGTGCAAAATACAACATTTTGGAAAGATTAGACAAAGCAAAGCTAAGAGACTCAATAAGAACAGGAAAATAAGGGCAAGGACTTAAGCAGCACGGAAAAGTATACATGGAAGGGACAGACATCTGGTGGGGGAGTGGAAGAATGCAGGATCTAGGTAAGTTTGGGGGTTTCTTCAGAATGGAATTTTATAAGGCCACTGCACAGAACCATACTGGTGTTTAATAGCTGCCTTCCTATCTGCCTTTATTAACCTTCTCCAAAATAGCATCAACTCCAGCCTTACCACTTACAAACGAGAAGTTGGGTGCAGCAAAAACTCAGGATACAAAGAACGACCTCAGCACTTGCAAAGCTACTGTAGAAGTACCACACAAGCCAACTTCTCACTGCTGCACTAAGCAAAATACAAAAGCCTCAGGTAAAAATGCTTACTTGGAGCTGCAAGACAGCTGCTTATAAACTTACACTACATTTCTAGCAACTAATCAGTCAAGTCATGTTCACTGACCTTTCCTACCCTCATTAAACGGTCTGGTGAAGGCACGCATTTATTTCTCACAAGGCAAAACTGGAATGAAGCCTTGGTTATAAAGACAAGTTAACAAAAACACAGGAAGAAGAGAACCCATACTCAGAAGCAAGCTCGGGGATGCAATTTTAAGAAAAACACCTTCTAAAAGTAATTTACTTGAGTCTTCACTTTGCACAATAATTAATAGAAAACGCTGCTCTCCTCAAAGCAAAACTTAGCCTTTACAAAACAAAATGCAGTACAACAGCCATCACTACAATTCCATCCATAGGTCACTACCTGGTTGGAACCAGGCTGTGTCAAAAGAACAAAACAACCCCACAGAAACATACCTTTGCAGCCACATTTCTTGCACACAGTGTTCAAGACAGCTTCAAGGGTGATCTTCTGACTGGTGTAGTCCCTAAATGTGCGTTTTTTTCTCTCATCCTGACTGGGAAGAGAAGACAAAGCTCCACTTTCAATCTCAACCCTTTTTACTCACACATAGGCAAGCTTAATTTCCCCCACCCCTTCCAAACATTGCTCTAAAAGCACAATTAAGCTAAATCAAAGAATAGAGCTGACCACCTATACATGAAAATAAAGCAAATCATTAAGAGCATGTTACTGCTACCTTCTATTTTAAGATCAGCTGAACATCCTCTACACAAAGCAAGTAAATGCTATAAGCTGCAATTAAGTCCTTGACAGTAACATCTGCATGATGTAGGTGAATACACACACTTCTCCAGCATGAAAATAAGAGATTTTTTTGAGCTGCAAGACATGGCACAGGAAAAAGTACAGAAGGAAGCTCTGGAACATCTGAGCAGTCGAGATTTGGTTCCCTACCATGTACAAGTGAGTCTGTGCCCATCCTGGATGAACAACTTTCCCAGAACAAGTGCACAACCACCACTAAATGCAAGAACCAAAATGCTACCAGGGTGCACAGGGGTGGAATTCACTGCTGGAGTGAAATTCTTGCCAGCCTCTAAGCAGCACAACCAAGGAAGCACCTTTAGTCAGCCCCCCAACCAGCCAGTGCACTGCTCAGCAGCTCAGGAAGAGCTTCTCTCACCCTCTGAAGGAAGGAGGACCTTGAGGATAATTATGGCAGGAAGGCTAGGAAGGAAAGGCAGGGAAAAGCAGGCAGCAGCAGTTACACTCTACTCAGTAGATTTACCTACTCAAGGGAAACATTGTTTGGATCAAGATCTTTCCCTGTGCCTTGGTTAACAACCTTCATGGAAAGGGACAGTTTCAGTTTGTCATCCTTCACCTGGAAGAGAAGTAAATGGAATAAGAAGAGTAAATGACACGATGCTAATTAATGCAATCCATCTGGAGGCCTACAGAGAAGAAATGAAATTGGTAGCAGAGCAGAGCACTATAAAGAATACCAACCCAAAGCAATTCTGTTCTATTATACTGTAGCTGCATTTTCAGTGTAGAGCATTCCAATAAAAAAAACAGCTTCTGCTTAAGTAGCTGACCCAGAAAAAAGACAAGATCACTAAAAGTCTTTTTGGATTAACAGAGGATCTATATGCCCAAACCCACACCAGGGAAGAATTGGAAGCTCTCCAAAAAATCTCAGATACATGACCCACAGGGGAGATCCCCCAGATCAGAAGCTTAGCAAAACTGCATACTGAAAAATGAAGTTGTATGAGCCTTCTCCTTACAGCCCTTCACAACACAAGGTGAGAACGGGTGTGCAGGAAGGAGTAGAATTCTGTTGCTTTTCAGTCAAAAGCTTTAATGAAGACCCCTTTCCTGAACTGCATTATTTTGAGCCACAGGTCAGCGCCCAAAGTCACATCTGAAAGCAGGCACAGCTCAGCCACTAGCAAAAATCAACACATCACACCCCTAACAAAGCCATGAGCCCCTGCACACAGAATTTCAAGGTTCACTGTTCTTACAGCATACTGTATTACAATATACAATATCTACACAGCACAAAAGGAACGAGAATTCAAGTTACCTCTTTTCCAATGAGTTTCACCCATACTTTGTCTCCAACATCTACTATCTCTGAGGGTTTATCTATGCGGCAGGAGGACATGTGAGTCTTATGAACAAGGCCTGATGGGAATTTTGGAAGAAGGGGAAAAGAAAAAAATGAAATTGTGCCCTATTAAGAAATAATACTAGAAAACAAACACTATTCATTTTTTTTTTTATCTTCAGCTCATCCTTTTTACCACGTCTACTTTTGTGTATGTGTGGTAATGTCAGCACAGTAATATGTGCATGAAGAAGTACAGAAGCACAGTTTGTTTAGGCTCTGCACCTCACAGCTTCTCTACAGCAGACACATTTCTGCCCAAAACCTTTATTAGAAGTGGTACAAAAGGAGCTGGGCACTTTTGGATCAGTGGGAAGTGATTATTTGTTGGATAACAGAACAACAAGCTACCATTGCTCCTTCTGTAAAATCACTTGGTTTCACACTGCATGTTTCCCACAGCTGTAGACAGAGCTTGAAAACAGCCATGATTTGCTTTATCTGAGTTTTATTTCAGTCTTCTGCATTAAGCTCATTCAGTACGACCAGTAGAGAAATAAGCAGGGCAAACCATTAAGTTGTAGTGATTCCCTGCTTTGTCTATATTTAAATATACCACACTTGGGAAAAAGCCATATCTAAACAGACCTCAGCCTCACATGCAAGCATACCATCTAAATTCTACTATCTGAGAGCATCAACTGCTGCCTTGTTTTTAAAAAACACTTCTTCTAAAAGCTGCCAAGTGCTTAATTCTGAGGCTGGCTGTTTGGCTCGGGCACACCAACATGTAACCGAGTCCAAACAAAATAACAGAAACAAACCTTGCTTCCTGCAGCCTGGGATTTTTATAAATGCCCCATATTCTGTCACAGCAGCCACCTGTGAAGAAAATGAACACATTTAAGAGCAAGCCCTTAAAACACACCTGCTCCCAATAAAGTGGCTAGAACACACACGACATCCAGAGGGTTCATGTGATTTCCTAGAACTCTGGGCACCACAGCAGGTTACAGCCAGCACTGCTTGCTAAAAAGAGCAGATGAGGCCAGCTGCTCCTGTGCTACCCAGACAAGCACCTTATAGACGCTTATACACACACGTGAGCACACACACACGGATGTACACGGAAATCTGCCCAAACTAAGCAGCGCTGAGGAACACAGCCGCACTTTCCTCCGATTCCCAGCGCTGCGCTCACACACCTCGCCCTGGAAGATGGCGTAGAGCTCCGGCAGCGGCTCCATCACCTCAGCACCGGGGGGTGACACACTGCAGGGACTCCAGCGCCGCCCACGGCATCCGCGGCCGCCTCCCTGCCGGCTCCAGCTACCGCACCGACACTAGAGCCGCCTTAAGTACAGAAGGTTAATTAAAAAAGAACGCTTCCCGTGACCAAATCCTCAGACAAACCCACTACAAAGTCACATCTCGCTCGCTGCTAACATTGAGCCACCTCCGCACCGCCCTCACCCGAGGCGCCCCCTCAGCCCACCAATCGCCGCGGGCAATACTGGCGGGAGCCAAGAATCAGCCAATCGAAGTGACCGATGTTATCTTGCGCCCTCCCCTTAACCTCTCCGGCGTCAGCGCGGCCAATCCGTGCGAGGAGCGCGCGTAGCTTTCAAGCGGAGTCCTTACGTCTTCTCTACGCGACGGAAGGAAGGCGGGACATCCGGGAAAGCTCCTCCAATCAATGCGGCAGAAGGCCGTGCTGCTGGCCAATGGGGAACCGGGCGGGCGCGCGCGGCCCGTGGCGATGATCGAGCAGCAGAAGCGAAAGGCCCCAGGCGGCCCCGGCCCAGGCCCTGGTCCCGGTCCCGGCCCAGCTCCCGGTTCCGGCCCCGGCCCAGCTCCTGGCGCTGCCCCCGGCCCTACGCCGGGTCCCGATCTCCCCCTCGTGCCCTCGGCGGCCAAGCGGCCCCGTCATGATCCACCGACTGCTGGCGGAGGGGGCGGAGGGGGTGGCGGGCAGCCCCCAGCCGGTGCTCTGCTACAATCGGTAGGGGCTCTGAGGGGGGCGGGAATGGAGAGGACCTTTTCCTTGTGCCCTCTGCTCCGGCTGCCCCTCACTTCTCTCTCCGTGTCCTCCCGCAGGGCCCCCCGCGCTGCTCCTCGCTGCAGGCGCCCATCATGTTGTTGTCGGGGCACGAGGGAGAGGTGTACTGCTGCAAGTTCCACCCCAACGGCAACACCCTGGCGTCTGCCGGCTTTGACAGGCTGATCCGTGAGTAGTGGGGCCGGGCTTCACTACTCTGGGTGTAAAAATAATTTGTACTTAACAAAATCTCCCACTTTCCATTGTCCTATACAAGAAATCCTACTAAAGCATCAGCCCCTTCTTTCTCATAGCCACCCTTTAGATATGGAAAGGCTGCTCTCACATCTCCCTAGAGTCTTCTCTTTTCCAGGCTGCAGATTTCTCAATCTGAATTAGGTGTATTTTCATACGCTGTTCACTTTCCTCTCTCCTGTTTCTCTAGTGCTATGGAATGTCTACGGGGATTGTGATAACTATGCCACTCTGAAAGGACACAGTGGGGCGGTGATGGAGCTGCACTATAACACGGATGGCAGGTAAGGAGCACACTGGTAGATTTCTGCCCAATCCCCACTGTTTCGAAGGGGAGATGTTTTCTGCTGGACAGAGCCCTGCACAGCACCTCCTCATTGCTCCAGCTCAGCCAGCAGCCCTTGTGACACTTTTCCAGATCAGGAGTGGTGTTTGCTCGAGGCTGAGCATTGACTCTGGAGCCACTTGTGACTTATGAATGCCTTTGGTTTCAGTCTTCAGAAATCTGAGTGCTCACGCTGATGATGTGGGAAAAGCTAATTGCTTCGGGTGGGAAAGAGAACACGTATGTGTTTTTTTATTTCAGAAGGTTCTTCCACCATTGCATCTGAACCAGGAGGTTGTTAGACTTTCCTTTTTCTCTTCCCAAAGAATCATAGAATCACTCAGGTTGGAAAAGACCTTAAAGATCGTTGAGTCCAACCACAACCTAACCATGCTACCCTAAATAACAACCCTCCACTAAATCATGTCCCTGAGCACCACATCCAAACGGTTTTTAAGCACATCCAGGGATGGTGACTCAGCCACCTCCCTGGGCAGCCCATTGCAGTGCTTAACAACCCTTTCTGTAAAGGTTTTTCCTGATATCCAACCTAAACTTACCCTGGCACAACTTGAGGCCATTCCCCCTCCTGTCACCAGTGAGAAGAGACCAACCCTGCTCTGCTGTTGTCGCCTTTCAGGTATTGGAAGAGAGCAATAAGGTCTGCCCTCAGCCTCCTTCTCCCCAGACCAAACAGCCACATTTCCATCACAGACCGTGTCTGAGGAGTCAGAAATCCTATCTATAATTTTAAATAGAAGTGGGGTTTGGTGAAAGCACCTCCTGTGTATTTGTTCTACTGTCAGTCGGCAGACATTTGTCTTTGCACGTTTAGGCGTAGTTCTTAATAGTACTGGGGCCAATTTCATTTAATGTTTTTATCAGATCTTCATTAGATCCTGATGGAGAGTTTGAGTACACCGTCAGGAAACTAGCAGGTGACACCATGTTGGGCTGCAATTTTGCAGATGGATCTATGTAGGCTGAGTTGATGGTCTGAGTCCAGTCACGTGACATTCAACAAAGCTGAGTGCTGCACTTGGGTCACAACAATGCAGTGGTAGAGGCTCAGGGAGAGTGGCTGGAGGGGCGTCCTGTGGGAAAGGATCTGGACAGTTGTAGAGAGCAGCCCCTTTTCCTCCAAACAAAACAATTCAGTTTCCCTCAGCAGCTGTAGCAAGAAAGATGGCTGTAGCAAGAAGGATGTCAGTCTCATTTTTTCAGGTAACAGGACATGATCTTTTCAACCAAAATGAGTGTCTGATTCAGTGGCTCCCACTTAATATTTCAAGCTGCGGCTTCACGTCTGTAGAGTAAGAAAGTGGGTTGGAGAAATGCTTCTGACATTGAGAGTCTCACAGTGGTTCTTCTCCACAGCATGCTCTTCTCAGCATCTACAGACAAGACTGTGGCTGTGTGGGACAGTGAGACTGGAGAGAGAGTGAAGAGGCTGAAGGGCCACACCTCGTTTGTGAACTCCTGCTACCCAGCAAGGCGAGGGCCTCAACTCGTCTGTACGGGCAGTGATGATGGGACGGTGAAGGTCAGTATGTGGAGGCAGTCTACGGTGAAAATAAGATAGGATCTCCAAGAACATAACATGTTCATTTCCATTTAAATTGGGGGAATTCACCTTTTAGTAACTCTCATAGATTTTTATCAACAAATTTTGATTCCAGAAAAGAAATTCAGTCAATCCTCCTGTAAGTTTTTAGATGGAGGTTAAGAAAATTAATCCACTCACTTGCGCTTCTTCTGTTGAACAATGTTAATCAAACAAGTGGAAGGCAAGCAGTTACTGAAATCTTTTATTCAACTGCCTTTTTCCCTCCTATTTTTCCTTAAAACTGGGGAATTCCTGTGTTTTAGCAGCAACAGACTTTTACTGTGGTTTTTGTAAAAATCCTTTGAGGTGTGAAAGAGTGGATTTTAGTAGAGTGGTCTGAGTCTGCAAAACAGAGAGATTTTTCCCCCAGAGGGTGGTGAGGCACTGGAACAGGTTGCCCAAGGAGGCTGTGGATGCCCCATCCCTGCAGGCATTCAAGGCCAGGCTGGATGTGGCTCTGGGCAGCCTGGGCTGCTGTTGGTGACCTGCACGCAGCAGGGGTTGCAACTGGATGAGTGTTGTGCTCCTTTGCAACCCAGGCCATTCTGTGGTTCTATGAAAGCTCGTGTGCAACTCCCTACATGTAAGTTTTACCACCACAATGTCTTTTCAGCTGTGGGATATCAGAAAAAAAGCTGCTGTCCAGACATTTCAGAACACCTACCAGGTCTTGGCTGTAACTTTCAATGACACCAGTGATCAGATCATATCTGGGGGCATTGACAACGATATTAAGGTATGACGCTTGTGTCCTCGTGTGTCTTTCCAACCATGCTCACCTTTTCCATCCCATCAATATTTACTTAGCAGCATGCAAAATGCCCCATTGGTCAAGAACAAATGTGGAAGACTATTGGTTAATTTTACTGTCACAAGAACTGCACTGATCCACGGTGTCTGACCTCTCTCTTGATCTGAGGCCAACAAGCTGAGGTAGTTGTCCCAGGGCTGTCTGCCATGTGACTGGCCACATGTCCCAGTGCTGCTGTCACACACTGCCACTGATATGGTATGCAAGCTGGCAGCTGGTGCTCCTCACAGAGGCACTAGAGCCGTATATGAGGTAGGCTAAAGAAAAATTGGTGACACAGCCACATTCTCTGACCTCTGCTTCGATAACTTGTCACCTGCTACTGAGGAAAGTTCTTATTTAAGAGCACTCTCAGTGTTTCATTCATTTTGTAGCTGAGATTCTCCTGATAGCTTCACAGTTCAGTCAGTCTTACTGTCTCTTTAGCCTCAGTCTCCAGTCTTACCTAGGCATGCGGAGCACATTCTTGTCAGAGGGCCACCACTAAGTGTAACACTGAAATGGTATCTGTTCTGATTGCCCTCTGAATGGCAGTAACTCTTAGAGAAAAAGCAGTGTGAGGTTGGACAGCTGCTTCTCTGTGCCATGGGTCAGTGGAATTTGGGAACTGAGGGAGCTAGGCCAGATTGAAAGGGAATTCTGCATACATAAGCTGCTGAAATTTCATTGTTTTCTGCTGTTGTGGTTGGACGTGTTAGGTAAGAAATAGAGAAAAAAAATTGCCCTTTAGAGGACAATACATAACATTATAGCCTTATACTTCAGCCATTCAGACCTCACCCAACTGAAACTGAAAACTGATTTCATCAGATGGCTGATCAGTAACTGCATGAAATGGTTTGGAAAGAGCGTTGCTGAGAGTCTTTTCTGCCCTTTCTAAGCCACAATCTTGTGTCTGTGCCTGAAAGGTGTGGGACCTTCGCCAGAACAAGCTGACATACACCATGAGGGGGCATGCAGACTCAGTGACAGGCCTCAGCCTGAGTTCAGAAGGCTCCTACCTGCTCTCTAACGCAATGGATAACACAGGTACATCCTATCAAATGTGACAGCACAGCTGTGCAGACAGCTGTCAGCCCCTGCTTTTGAAGAGCTGTGTGTGGCATCTTGGAAAGGAACAGCTGAAATTGGTCAGTGTGCTAAAAAGGGAGAACCGGGTGAAAAGATGGGCAGAATGCAAGCTGGGTGTGCAGAGAAAACTTCAGTTCTCTTTGTTAAAACCGTGACAGTTGCAGAGAGGGAGCAGAAGAAAGGTTTGTTACGTCTCCCAAAGGGTGATGAGCACGCAGGCTGTGGCACAAGTTATTTGCACAGGCAGTTGAACATAATCTTGGTCTGGCTTTTGTCAGTGGTTCGGCTGCTTCCCCGCAGCAGGGAATGACTGTGCTGTTTCCATCTCCCACGTATGGGTGCTCAGCGAAGCTGATCTGATTGGAAG